GCTGACTGAAAAATATTTAAAGTAATTCGAAACAGAATAAGGACCTTTTCCATGATTCAGCTAATTAATGTTTATCAAACTTTTTTACAAAATATTGTATCCAAAAAGTATACAAATAAAAATTCTACAATTTTTTTTTACATTATTAAAATTTTAAATGCCTCATAAATTGGGGTTCGTTCGGCAAACAACTCTTTTTTGAGTTCAAAATGTTTTTTTTCTAATATTCAACATAAAGTACCTGGTTAATGCGGACTCATCATCTGCGACCAACCGACTTCGATGTAGCAATTAAATAACAAACTAAAAATGTTTTGTTTTGTTAAATAATACAACATTGTCTTTATTTAAAAAATAGTTTCAAAGTGAAAAATCAAGTGATTTTTTTTGTAATAAAAAACATTCTAAAAATTAACAAATAAATTATATTTTTAATTTTGTTGTAAGAGTTTAAGAATTATCTTTGTTGTCTAATTGAATACTCATTTTAATAATAATAACAGTCAAAAATTTGATCTGGCCTACAGAATACGCCACCTTATTCTATTATACATTTTGCTATTTAAACTTAATTTTATTTTTATTAAATTAAGTAAATCCCCCAGCACATTGATGGTAGTTTTCATTTACATTCTCAAAGCGTTAGAAATTCCTTAAGGAAATACTTTTGCAAGAGGAAAAGCGTTGGAAAATATTTGATAACAATGTGCCATAAGAAGATAAGAATGCCAACCTGTTCGTACTTAACCATTAATAACTGGTAGGCCCAGCAATGTTGTAGGATTGTTAACTATTTCTTTACACAGAGAGTGGTACAATACCATGAAACACAACCAAACAAACCAAACAAACTAAAAATAAAAAACAAAATACAAAAATGTTTTGTAATTATAACGCAAAAAGGCAAAAAGGCCACGACAAACTCATTCGTCCGTAGTGAAAAATTCACATTACACAGAAAGAAGCCAAAGGCCTTCGATGTGGATGCCACAGAGAGTGAGACAGATGGTCGGGCAGGGGTGAAGATTGGCTAAATTCCATTTGAGACATGGACAGGATGGTGGCAAAATTGCCATGACAACAAATCAAGCATCATAATGTATCAAGCAATGCATCAAGTGGTTTGAAACTGGAACGTCAACGCAGAACAGCGATGATAACGATGACGACGACGACAATACAATGTAATTGACGAGAATTGTCAACACTCTGGAATCGGGGGACGACATGCCCGTACCGCCAACACCCCTCCGTCCCCCCGTTTTTGCTTCAACACTTTCAGAGTCCACTGTTTACACTGCGTGCTGTCCCGCAGGCTGACTGGCTGGCCACTTACTTTATTTAACGCAATTACCGATTACAGCTAACTTTACGGCCAACCAACCAGTTTCTTGTTCAATTGCAATTGGTTTGAATTGTCTTGACGCATATTTTGTGTAGTCCTTATGTACTAGATATACACATATTGTGAATGTATGAAAACGACAAGAAATTTCAGTACTGAAGTGGGGAAATGCTATTTTTGAACCTTATGGAATTTATTAAGAAGGTGTTTAAAATATAGGAACAGCTTAAAATACTGTTTCCTTATAAACACAATTTGGCTAACAACAGAAAGAAACCCATAAAACATTACTAACAATGAAACATCAAGAACATAATTTAATTCTCTCAATTCTTGTATATGATAATTACATACAATTTTACAGCAACGATGGAATAAATATAAATATATTTATACTTTTTTTTATTTTTATTTTTTATTTGTGCGAATAACGGTTGTATGAAACGCACAGAGGGAAACGTTTCCAACCCCATAAGATTTATATATTCTTGATCTTGATCTTGATATTCTTGATTCTTGAGTCTATGTCTGTCTGTCTGTCCGTATTGTTTGTCGGCTAGTTCTCAGAGACTATAAGAGCTAAAGCCAACACATTTTGCCTCCAGACTGCTGTATGCTCACACTGAAACCAGTGTATTTAAAAAACGAGAAGGGACGTGTGAGACCCTTCTTCCGCGTCACAACTTTTATACCCGGTACTCAGTACCACATCTGTACCTTAGCGGTTTCTTGTCAAATTTTACATTTTTTCTTCATCTGTCATCTACATCTACAACACTTCTCACGCCAACACGCTCCTTTAGCTCGCCCCCCTTCCCTAGCCGCACATAGTGCAGACTAACGGCAGAGGCAGCGGCCGCACACTGCGCGAAGCAGAGTGTGAAGGAGAGAATGTACAAAAAACAAATATAAGCTGCGGGACGGGGTGGGTTTCGCCTCTGGAAATTCATTTCTTCATTTTCGCTATAATAATCATCCAATCGGAACCCAATTTGTTGATCTGATAGATATTCCCTACGGAATTAGTTTTCTTTTATCTTCAAAATTGTCAATACAGCAGATTTTAGCCCTTTGTGGTGGCGGAAGGGGGCGGCGCTAATTATACCCGGTACTCGAAGAGTAAATAGGGTATAATGTATTTGTGGGGAATAACGGTTGTATGTAACGCACAGAAGGAAACGTTTCCAACCCCATAAAGTATATATATTCTTGATCAGCATCAATAGCCGATTCGATTGAGCCATGTCTGTCTGTCGGCTAGTTCTCAGAGACTATAAGAGCTAGAGCCACCAAATTTCGGCTACGGACTGCTGTATGCTCACATTGAAACCAGTGTACTTAAAAAATTAGCCCCGCCCGCATCCGCCCCCACAGAAGGGCGAAGTTATGTCGATGTAGATGACAGATACAGAAAAAAAATATTAAATTTTACAAAAAACCGCTAGGGTACAGATGTAGTACTGAGTGCCGGGTATAAAAGTTGTGAAGCGTAAGATGCGTCTCACACGTCCCTTCTCGTTTTTATGTTGATTTATAAACTCATTATGTCGGGTGGAGCTACTACATTGTCGTTTTCAATATTCAGCAGAACGCACAGCATAGCAGAAAATGTCAACCATAGGCGTATATTTATGACATGAGATGGTGGATGAAGGGAAAATGATCGAAACATTTACCCCCAAGTAAAAGAGTAACCCCCAAAAGGGTAAAGAGCACGCAATGCCAGGGACAATTTTATATGCTGCAGTCATGTATACTGAGTTTCGAGTCGATGTTAAAGCTATCCCTAGGTTGTCCGGACTGCTGATGTTGCTGCTGCTTATGTTGCTGCTGCTGTTGCTCCTACTGATGCTGCTGTTGATTATCCCCTGACAGGGCATCAATGCGAAAACGACCGACCAATTTACATACAATGCACATCAATCGAATGGCAACTGCAACAACAACATCAAAATCAACTGAAACTGCCACTGCTACTGTCACTGTCACAAACAGCCACTGAGAGAGCACCTTTGTGGCATCATCAGTTGTCAGTTTTTGTAATTCTTTTGCCTTTGCCTTTTACCCCCGGTCTCTGGTTATGTTTCTGTCTCTCTATGTCTGTCTCTGTTGCTATGCCTTCTGGGCCACGGCAATCAAGCGTACTTGTTGTCCAGCAGCAACAACCAACAACCAACAACCGACAAGCGACCATCCATCCATCCGACCGATCTACCTTCCTTCCAGCTATCCATCCAAACAACCACCAACAACTTCAGCGGCCATGACACAAAGATTGACAGCATGTCGTCGCAGTTTGAAAGCCTGATTGACATGCGTAATCAAGCAGCCGAAATGTGCCCACAAAATGCAACCAGAAATGCCACTGACAACGAAACCCAACGAACAACGAAAGTTGAGTTTCCCAGCCAGCCCTCCGACAGTCCATTCCTCTTTTGACTGTCAACATAGCAAGGACAGCCAAACAGCCAACTACATACTCGTACTCGTACCCGTACAATGACCAGTGACGGTCAACCCCCGGTATATAGGATCAGCCAGAAGGGCCAATTTCTTGGATCGAATGAGAGGGATTTTCAATGAGGCATCGATAATAATGTATAATTAATCAATGCATCAATTAGATGAACATTTCTTGTGGTATAATATTAGGCATCATATTTGCACAATACTTATGGGAAAATTAACATAATCAAGGGACAGTATGGAGTTCGCATTAGGAAAGGTTTGCCCAACAGACAATAATAAAATGGCAATAATTTAGAATTATAACTATTTTTAGAATAATTTGGAGATCAGTTTTAATTAAATTGTAAACCAAACATTTTAAGAGAGCCTAGAACCAGACTACCATTGAAATGTCTCCTTTCAATAACTAGTAATATCCTCAAATATATCCCAAATAATTCCTGATTCTTTTTGTGGCCATTCCCATCATCCAATTACACTACCAGACACGATTTTACCTCAAGAAACCAGGAACAAAAAATTGTCATTAGATTATTTCGTAGCCCCATATCTTTTTTACCTTTCGACTTAAATACTGGTAAAAATACGTCACAAAAATCTATATTTTTTCATTTCAAAGCTTAATATTTCCCAGACGAAAAGCTAAAACCGCAAAAAGTTTGCGTCTACTTGTTAGGTGCATCAATCAGCTATTCAGACTTTTTAAGTTCTTTACAACCAGGTCTAAGATGCATAAGTTATGGGAAAAAATAAACTGATACCTCTAAAAAAAACCTGCAAACAAAAATTTAAAAATAAAAAAAAGAAATTTCTGCCATAGAAAAGAACCATCTTTACAAAATAGTAATGCTCGAAATCTATCAGTAAAAGGTTTGGTTTCTTGAGGAAAAAAAAATTCGCTTTTGTCGAGTAGTTACATATATTAGATTCCCAGCTAATACAATTTAAATGCAAATTAACAAAAAAAAAAAAAACATTTGCTTGCAGCTCCTTCCTTCCGTTTGATTGCGTATATCCACTTACACAAATCCTGATCCTTTGGTGGATTACAAAACCACGAATATCCCAACCCATTGTCAAGTTGAAAGCGGCCTTTGATGAAGGCGACACGACTTTTACAGACCGGTAGCCGTTTGACTACTGACAGGCCGGATGCAGGACAGACAGACTGGCTGACAGTAGCTCCATGAGGGATCTTCGGATCAAGGAGCGGTGAAGACTTTGCTCGATCTGCTGTTCGATCTGTTCGAAAAGTAGAAGGAGAGATAGAGAGAGAACGGCAAACTGCAATTCTGATGACTTTTTGTCAGGGCTGATTGACGTCAACGACTCGACGACGTTTGTCAGGCACATAAATCTTTTGACTGGCTTGTTTGTTGGCTGTGTTATTGTTGGGGATGTGGATGGATAACCCATCCTCATCCTCAACCCAATCCAGCAATCCCAAAGCCAGCCAAACAGGGGGATTATAATGACCCGACAACTACAGCCGATGCGATGCATAAACCATGCCACTTTAAATTGGCAATTCTTGCGACAGTAAATTTTACAATGAGTTACTACATTGGGCCATTCTTTTTTCCCCTTTTTTTTGTACCAGTAAAGGCGCAAAATAAAAGCAAGCAGCGGCTTAAACTTGAACTGCAAATTGTGGGGCGTAACTAAAGACAAAAGACCGATTTAGTCTTAGCGTGTTTTCGAAAGTTCAAATCATTTGTCGAACGCACCAAATGTATAAAAGCCATAACTATCACTGAATTTGAGTACAGTTCACATTTGTTTGGTGATCGCGCAACAGTAGTCTCTAGCTTAGATCAACTCATAAACTATCTCAAGTACCATGGCCCAGACGGTAAGTGTTCCTTTGGAGGATCCTTCCAAAAAACGTAATACCAATTTTCTCACAGTTTTGCATTGCACTTGTGCTGTTTGCCATTGCGGCTATACGGGCAACTCCTTTCAACGGACACGAGCATTATAGCGGTGGTGTCGCCTCGAGTCATGCTTCGGTGCAATTGACATCACATGACGATCATCATGAGGGAGCCCACCACGGTCGTCGACACGGACACGACGGTCACCATGACTCGCATTCCGAATATGACTTTAAATATGGCGTCAAAGATCACAAGACGGGAGACGTGAAGGAGGCCAGTGAATCACGTCACGGCCATAAGGTTACCGGACACTATGAGTTGATAGATGCCGACGGACACAAGCGCACTGTCCACTACACCGCAGACAAGCACAATGGCTTCCAGGCCACTGTCCATCGCGAGAAGCTCTATGATCATCATCAGGTGGCTGTCGAGCAGCCCGGACATGGACACGGCCATGGAAGCGGCTATGGGGGTAGACACGTAGAGCTCGAGGATTATTTCGCACAGTCCGGCCATGGTCTTGATCATGGTGGTCATGGCAGCGACTCTCATACCAGTGGCTACTCTCTAAAGCAGGAGCACGGATCTCGACATGGACACGGAATCTGACACTCTTCAAAACACGAGCACGGACACGACTATCATTGTTAACATCGATCTTTGATTAAACTTGTACCAAAAAATTGTTGTTGTTAGATGTCAAAATAAATGAGGCAACCCATTTTTACAGTGAATGAAATTAATGAGAATTTGTTTAACTGGAAACTAATATTCCAATCCTGAATTCGTCTAAGGGAAAACATTTAGAATATACAACTGACGGGCACGTCAGACATACATATGTATCTTACAAAATAAAAATAGAAAGAAAGAGGTCCCCTGATCCTACACTGTTCTTTAACATCCAAAAATAAACCTTAACGAGAAAGGACGTCTAACACGCTTCTTAAGCGTCACAACTTTTATACCCGGTACTCGGTAGTAGATCTGTACCTACGTGGATTTTTTTAAATTTTACATCTACATCTACCTACATGACTTAAGCGTCACAACTTTTATACCCGGGACTCAGTATTACATCTGTACTTACCTGAATTTTTTTATACCCGGTACTCGAAGAGTAAATAGGGTATATTGTATGTATATTGTATGTAACGAACAGAAGGAAACGTTTCCGACACCATACTCTACCCCAGCATCAATAGCCAAGTCGATAGAGCCATGTCTGTCTGTCCGTCCGTCCGTCTGCCTGTCTTGTTTGTCAACTAGCTCTCAGAGACTATAAGAGCTACAGCCACCAAATTTTGCATCCGGACTTCTGTATGCTCACACTGTTGCAAGTGTATTTAAAAAATGAGCCTCGCCCCCTCAAAAGGGCGAAAACCTCCCAAAGCTACAATTTTGAAGATAAAAGAAAACTAAAACCACCATTCCGTAGGGAAAGATCATATCCATCAGATAACTGAATTTGGATTATTATAGCCACAATGAATAAATTAATTTCCAGTGGCTAAACACCCACCCCGTCCCGCAGCTTATATTTGTTTTTTGCACATTCTCTCATTCACAGGGAAGGGGGGGGGGGGGGGGGGGGGGGGGGGGGGGGGGGGGGGCGAGCTAGAGGAGCGTGTTGGCGTGAGAAGTGTTGTAGATGTAGATGACAGATGTAAAAAAAATGTAGAATTTGACAAATAACCGCTAAGGTGCAGAAATAGTTCTGAGTGCCGGGTATAAAAGTTGTGACGCGTAAGAAGCGTCTCACACGTCCCTTCTCGTTAAATTTGATATCTACATCTACCTACATGACTTCGGCCGCCAACACGCTCTTTTAGCACGCCCCCTCCCCTACAACCGCACACTGCGAGAAGAAGAGTGTAAAATGAGGGAATATCCAAAAAATTAAAAAAAGCGCTGGAATGGAATGTTTAGTTTTCTTGCATCTTTAAAATCAAATCTTCGCTCTTTGTGTGGGCGGAAGGGGGTGGGGATAATTTTTTAAATACACTTGAATCAGCGTGAGCATATTTGGTGGCTGTAGCTTTTATAGTCTCTGAGATCCATGCGTTCAACAGGACACGGATGGACAGACAAACTTTGATATTTCGACTAGGATATTGATACTGATCAATAATATATATACTTTGTGGGTTCGGAAACGCTTCCTTCTGTATGTTACATTTTTTCCGCACAAATACAATATACCTTTATTACTCTTCGAGTACCGGGTATAAAAAAACACAAAAATAATCATTCATTAATCATTTATTTGCAAGAAAAAAATAGTGTAATAATAAATACAAATAATAGCCAGTCCAATTTATGCACTGCATATTTTGTATATATAAAATAAATATGAAATGTAGAAACTGCGTACAACATGGAACGTATAAAAATAATAAATTACCTTCCACCTCCCACCCCATCCCGAAGTCCGGATGCCCGGATTCAGTTCAGGGTCTCTCGGGTCAAGAAGTGATTTTGGTGGAGCGTTTATTATGCGCAAAATAAACGGAGAGCGGGACGCAGAGGACATAAATTAAATTTATGATGCTTATAAATATTCCACAGTCATTTTCAATACAGCAACAAACACAAGGGCAGGAGGATAACGACAGGATGTGTGCTGAGGCTCGTGTTTTCTCAACAAATTGTAGCCACACGAGAGATTGAGAGAGACCTAGAGACATACTCGCATATATATTTGATTTATGAGCATGCGATGATAAATAAAGGAATTGCAAAAAACCCTACAAAAAAGTCCAGTTGCCACCACTAAAAGTGAAAATGACTCGTCCATATAATGCATAAAAAACAAACCCACACCTAACTCGTACTCGTACTCGTATTCCATGTGGGGGAATTGATGATAAACGTTGTCAGGCATCTGAAACAGCAATTTATGGATAAGCCGCACAGAAAAATTATATATCATCGCGGAGGACGTCGAAATCTACCTATGTATGTCAATGGAATATTGTTATGTATTTGATCCAAATGACAGGCCCGAAGAGTGTTTATGGTTTGACTGTGGGGTATCTGATTATTATTCTTTTCATTTGTGTACGGGATTGGTGTATATTCAATTAATTTAATTTACGATATTTAGGATAATAAACTTTTGAGAGCAGCTACTATAATAGTGATAGGGTACATGGCTCTATTCGTTCAAAACTTTAGACAGAGATTGCTGCGTTTTCTTTTCAGGGGTTCTCCTGTAAGCTGTATTACAGCCCCAGAATTTAATAAAAAATGTAATAAAAAAATAATATAAAATTCAAATTTTAATGGGACTTATCTTCAGACGGGCATACATAGACACAAACGATTGTATAACAAGTGGGAAATGTATTATTACAATGGTAATTTGGGTACCGGCTATCACCGTCTCAATACACGTGTGCTACGGTTTCAAATGTTTGTGTCGGGTTTCCCAGCCGCTCTCGCTTACATTACGGCATGGCCAGTTCGGCCCGTCTGCCCATAGGTAGTGTGGAATTGATATCTATAGGCTGCGGTCTCCATAACCTTTAACCATTTTTGAATACATATATATACACATGAGTAACATACATACATACATTCGCTTAATATCGCCTAATAAATTGTACATACTTTGTTATATGAAGTTTTCGTATTTTTATAAAACAAATAAACAGCTACTAATAACGCTTAGTAGCTCAACAGTTAGGATTAAGCTTTTTTCTGTTATCTAAAAATTTACATACTTTTTCCTATAAAATATGTTTCTTCTTTCTAATAATATAAATTATTTATTTTGTTTATTTTTCATAGATGGCAAATATAATTGAAATCGACTTGATTGAATTTTGCTAAATCAATCGATAAAGAGATTGTACCAATAACAATTATTTACTTTGCATTTCAACTTCTTTTAATCGCCACCCTCAATCATTTAACAGAAAGACATTTAATTAGCTTAATTGTGGAATTAACAAGTCACCTAATACAATTGAATCATAACTTCAGTAACCGACACAGAGGACGGAGAGACAGCTATGGAAAATTAATTTCAAATTAATTAAGCTTGGAGCTGCCAAAGTGAATTTGAATGTGACTGCAGTTGCCTCAAATCGTAAATAAAGTTGATTACGATTTATTTGAAACAAAATAAAAAGCCAAGAAGAACAAAAAAAGGTTTTAAAATAAAAAAAAATTCGAGGGGCGTGTGAGACGCTTCGTATGCGTCACAACTTTTATACCCGGTACTCTGTAAGTATATCTGTACCTGTTTTTTTCGAATTGTACATTTTACATTTTTTCTACATCTTTCTTTTACATGTACACACATCACTTCTTACACCAACTCGCCCTTTTAGCTGACCCACCGCCCTCCCCAAGAGCCACATACATACACGAGGCAGAGTGTGCGAGCGAGTATGAGCAACAAAAAAAAGGAAAGCTGCTGGAAGGGGTGGGGTAAGCCACTGAAAATTAATTTCTTCATTCTGGCTATAATAATGATCCAATCTCAATTCGGTGATCGATCTGATAGATATAGGAATATAGGATCTGATCCTTAAAATTGTGGATACAGCAGATGTTCGCTCTTTGTTTGTTCGCAAGGGGGCGGGGCAAAATTTTGAAATGCACTTGTTTAATATCCCAGCAATATGGATGCAAAATTTGGTGCCTTTAGCTTTTATAGTCTCTTATATCCAGGCGCTCATCAAGACGAACGGAAAGAAAGACAGACTGACAAAGACTTCGCTATTGATGCTGATCAAGAATATATATACTTAATGGGGTCGGAAACGTTTCCTTCTGTGCGTTACCTACATCCAGTTTTCCCCACAAATGCAATATAACCTATTTCGAGTACCAGATATACAAAAATTCAAACGCGCTGTTCAATTTGCAATGCAAATTATTTCTGTGTGCCATACTCGTACATAAAAATTAAGTAAATATATATTTTATGTCTCACCTGGCGTCGTTTAATGCCATAAAAATGAGAATGTGTCTTATTAACTGATTTGACTGTCGTCTTTGGGTCCCTTAACAGCATACAAAAAAAAAACCGGTACGGCACCAAGCCAAGATCTCCAAATAACCCCAATTCGTTAACCGTCTAGAGGCCATGGTGCCATTAATTTCGGAATCGTAAAGCCCACAATATGTCAAATGAGACCACACTGCGTCGTAAAATTCGATGTTTATGGCTGTTCACCTCCGAGTTGATATACTCCGTAGTATGTTTATTATACCCGGTACGGGAAGAGTAAAAGGGGTATATCGTATTTGTGGTCGAAAAATGTGACAGACAAGAAGAAAACGTTTACGACCCTATAAGGATGTACATATGTTCTTGATCAGCATCAATAGCCGAGTCGATATAGCCATGTCTGTCTGTCCGTCCGTCTTATTTGACGCCTCGTTGTTATGTGAAGACTCATGTGATATAACACTGAATCAAATTTGTTTCCAAATTTCTCCGTCCTTTCACCAACACAAGTGGTGAAAATCTGTTGAATTAATCGGTGCTGCGTTTTCTTTTCAGGGGTTCTTCAGTAAGTGGTAGTACAGCCCCAGAATTTAATAACAAAATTCAAATTTCAATGGGACTTGTCTTCAGATGGGCATTCAGAGACACAAACGATTGTATAACAAGTGGGAAATGTATTATTACAATGGTAATTTTGGTACCGGCTATCACAGTCTCAATACACGTGTGCTACGGTTTTCAA